TTTACAGTTTCAAAACAGCCTTCAAATGCACTCTGAGATAGATTGCTAATTCTCTTCTTTATCATCTCAGCTGATTAAAACAGAAAAACAGCCCTTGAGTAATATCAGTTACATAAAGCCATTGGTGATCATGCTGTTGTCATGAGAAGGGCTTGAAGATCCCTCAGCATCCCCCACTACCAGGTCTTCCTCTGGAAGAAATAGGGAGAAACCAAAACACCCTCCAAGATGCTAGCCCAGTTTCTGCCCACTAATCATTTACACAGCCATGCAGGAAAAGGGCAGGCCAGGAGAAGTCATGAACTCCAGCGTCGGCACCTTCCTGGAAGATGTTATGCAGAATCAGGAAGATTGGATGCCTTGAGCTGCAGTCCTAGCAGATTTCTTCATTCTTTGCTGCTTTGATAAATCATTTATTAGAACAGCCTTTTTACATAATCCCTGGGATAAAAAAAAAAAAAAAAGAAAAAAACCCCAACATCCCCCCCATAAAATAGATTTATCACAAAATCCTGTCCTCCTACCAACCATCTTCAGACCAGAACATATATTTCTCTGGTTATTAATTAACTGATGCACAGAAAAAGCTTCAAGCTTTTTAACCTCTCCCTTCCTCTTTTGTCCTTCAAGAGTGTAGATGACAATGCAGGAGCAATGTTCAAAACACAGATAGCTTCTTGAGCAACTGTAGTACTATTATCATGCTTTGAGCCCTATAGCCATGGGCATAAACATTAAAGCCATTCAGAAAGCAAGTATTTAAGCTATTTTCCCAGTACATACATTCTGTTCCTAGTCATACATGTCTAAATCTGGCATAGCACCATTAACACTGCTGACACTGACATGGAGAAACAAAGATGGTTAACTGCCAGTAGTGCACGTAACAACAACAGCCAAAAAGTCATATAATCTAGCAGTATGCATCTGGCCTGAAAAGAGGAAGGAATATGATATTGTTAGCATAGCTTGTCTGTCTGTCTATCTGCCTATCCCTTATCACTGTGACATCTCAATTCTCAGGAGAAGCCATAGCTTTTTTTCTTTTGGGAGTCTATCCAAATACCTTCACCAATATGAAATACAGTTCAACATAAATAACAGGAAGGGAGAGAGATGAATGCACCAACAACTTCTGAGTGTATCAAGCCCCCTGAAACTAAAACAGTCAAATGAAGGTAGAAGAATTAGCTTCTCTGTTCCTAGGATGTATTCACAAGGAAAATGCACAGTTATTGGCATTTGCCTTCCTCCTGCTCCCTCCCCAGCCCTCTCACTCCAGCCCCTCCACCCTCAGCAGCTAGCCAGTGGACATTTTTATGTTACAGCAGTGGATATCAGGACAACTAAAGAGAAAAAATAAACAATCCAAACCTGGCCCAAATCTGTAGGCAACCAATAGCATCAGAGTACAACTCCCAGCTTCATTATCTGGTCTAAATGAAATATAGTGAGCAAATGCACTTCTGATCTCTCTTATTAGTCCCATTTGTTAAAATGCTGTATTACTTACAGCTTTGCACAGAACAAGAAAATGGCCTTAGAATTCCATCTCAAAAGCAAAGTTATGATAAAAACTAGTGAAGCTTTGTGAGCTTATCTAAAGGCAAGGTTCTTGCAGAGGTACAACAGTATCAGCATCCCAGCACCAGGGCTTATCATCCAACTAACAGTCTAGTCCTGCTAAAAATAGAAAAATAGTAGACTTATAGAATCATAGATGCATTAAGGTTGGAAAAGACTTCCAAGATCATTGGGTCCAATCATCAACCCAACACCACCATGCCTACTAAACTATGTCCCAAAGTGCCACGTCTACACATTTTTTGAACACCTCCAGGGATGGTGACTCCACCACCTCTCTGGGCAGCCTGTTCTAATGCTTGACCACTCTTTCAGTAAAGAAATTTTTCCTAATATCCAATGCAAATGAATTCCATCATACTTGGCAGCATTTCTGGTGGGATTTGGGTTTATTAGGAGTTTGATTCAGCAATAAATTTCACTTTGCAGAGTGACTCACCCAGGCATTATCCAGTTAACAACATCTTACACTGAGATTACATTACAGTCCCAACTGCAGAACCAGGTAAATCCCACCATAGATGTACATCAATTTAAGCTAGGTGCCTGCCTTCATTGCAGTTAGCACTGGTCCCTGCTACACAGCCAGTGAGACTTGGTCCATCTGAGCACAGCTAGGAGTGTCCTGAAAAAAGAGAAAAATCATGTCCTACACTCCACTGACTACATCGGCTAGACCTCCACTGATTGTTTTAGGTTCCCAGGGTAGTTTGCTCACAAATGGATGCACATGTAGACACATTCTAGATGTGCACATTTAGGCAGTGAGAGGTACATTGCAACAGGATCAGTTACAAGAGTAGACATCAAAGTTCACAGGCAAGCTAGGTTCTCTAAAGACATGATATAAGCAATTATCCAGCTGTAGCCAACTCAGCTTTGATATTTGGTAGCTGTGTATATATTAGTAAAGTAAACATGCCTGGCACTTTGCCCTAGCACTGGGGCCAACTGGCACAGAATGGCCCACACCCAAACTATTAAATTCTCTTACTTTCCAGAATATCATGGCCTCATCCAACCTAACTACTGAAAACAACCTCTGTTCTGTGCTAATACTCAGACTATGCCCAGGAATTGTTTGGCGCTAGGTACAAGCCAAAACTATGTCAATGACCTTTCTAAAAATTCAGTGGTACAGATGATTGGGTTCCAGTTTCTCTGATCTTCCCTGGCACAGCTTTAGTTTACTGTTATAGGTGTAGCTGATGGGTCTTGGACGGGAGTATTAGCAATCCAGAGGTGATTTTAAAAAGAACTGGCTTTCACTACATCCTATTCAAAGTTTTGAGATAGCTAGGCAGGAAGGTACAAGTAAAGCACTTCCAAGGGACCTTCCAGCAGTATTTAAAGACTGAATCAACTCAGGTGAGATCAGGAGGTGTTTAGTTTGTTCCTTTGTTGAGATCAAATCATAGGACCTTGTTGACTGATTGATTATGTGTAAACTGGGAACATTAGCAGGTGCTTACTGGCTGATATGTGATTGAAAATGTAGATCCATTGCCATTGAATAATACCCCAGCTCATTACTCACCATTTTCTGGTGAGACTGTTTTCTATCTAGAGATTGATGACTTCTGTGAGGCTTGAGCAACACTTTTGCTCACATCTTCAGAGCTGCAGTGTTGGTATCCCCTGATCTAGATGGTTTGCAAGAAAACCACGTGGACAGTCGGTTACTTGGAGCCTTGGCTTCAAGAGGGGAGGATGAAGAAGGATGCCTGGTTTTTCAGTGGGTGTCCCTCTTAAAACCACGTCTGCCATACTCAGTAAACCCATTTTCTCACTTTGACGCTAAGACCTTTTATCGTTTTATGACCTCTCATAAGCTCATGTGATTAGCCAAAGGTAGCGAGTACAGCTTTAATGAAAGAGTGAGAAGGTGTGTTTGAATATATATGCACGCATATGTGTGTATTTTTCAAATGAAAGCCACCCTGTGTCATCTGTGAGACTTGTTTTTGAGGAGGAACTAGACCAGGGAAGAGGTGCTGCTGAATGCATTCATAGTACGGCCCAAGGCTGTAAGCCATGCCTGGTGCTGTTGTCAGGAGCAGGTGTATACCTGGCAGCAAATGCTCAGCATTAGCTTTTTGAGGGGCTCTCAAATTGTCTCTTCATCTCAGCCTGTCTGTTGAGAGACACCGCGTTCCTAGGGTTGATTTGTGCTGCCAGAGATTTGCAGGGGTGGGAAAACAGATGGCTTTGTCTGGAGTGCAGGCTGGTCCAAGCTAGTCTTACACAAGGTTTGTGCTCAGAAACGTTGTTGGCACACAGGGACATTTCTGGCAAAGGTAGCATCGGCAATTCTTATACAACATGATGGCCCCCTGCCTTACTAATATCTCAGACCCATGGTCACTCCAGCTGAAGACATATACAGCCTGGGCAAATGAGGCCTTTTCCTGGAGCTAACGTAAAAAAAAGAAAAAAAAAAAAAAAAAAAAAAAAAGAAAAAAAAAAGAGAAAAAAAAAAAGAGAAAAAAAAAAATAAACCCACACCAAAAACCCTCCCCAAAGCCAAATGTGTTAGATACATTGCATCCTGTATGTTTCTGACCTAACTTGGCTTTTCTGATCCCTGGAGAGCAAGTCTTCCATTGAGACAAAGAATGTCATTTTAGGTGGCCTGTAGATGCAATATTCAGTCCCTATAGGTGTTTCTGCTGCTGGATGCGCTCCATGGTTGATTGGATGATTTGCTGGCAAGGTACAAAACTACTTATGGAAACCATGTTAGGAAAGCACTAGTGTTCATCTTTCTCAACTGCAGAGTCAACATAAAGTCTGCAGTAATTGCCAGTTAATAAAGCTCCTCATATCGCTTAAGTGGCCAACAATCAAACTATTCATGCCAATGAATACCATAATGGAGAACTTATTAAATTCACATTTTACTTATATTGCCATAATAAGGAAGTAGCAGTAGGTACATCAAGTTCCCTTCATCATGAATATTGGAAGGCAAAGGAAGGGTTATGTTAGTGAGTGAAGGAAGGTCTAGAGATTTAGTCACGATGCAGGGAAAAAGAGCAAGATAGAGTGCCTTGAGACCATGCATCACATCTGCCAACACGCAGCTGAAAGGGGGCCCAAATCTTCTGTGTGCTGGTACTGTGGCACCAGCATTTGGATCCCTGTGCTTCACCTAGTCTTGTGTCCAAACTGGCACTCAGACCAGGCACTGTGTCCTGGGACACTGATCTGTAACAACCCCTCCTACCCTTTGTCCCCCATCGGCAACCATCCTCTCCTCACTTTCCTGCCTACCTGCCCACCCTCCTACCTGCTCACCCCCTCCCTCCCACCACCCTCACCCCCTTCCCCATGTTCATTCTCAGTGGTCGTTGCATGTACGTGCCTTGGCTCCCTTCAGCTCATTAAATCTCCTGCCTTGCCTCATGTTTTGACAGGTTTTGTGAGTTTTGACAATCCTGCCAGTGCCCAAGCTGCTATCCAGGCTATGAATGGCTTTCAAATTGGCATGAAGAGGCTGAAGGTGCAGCTGAAGAGGCCAAAGGATGCTAACCGTCCCTACTGAAGAATTGTGGGAACCACTGGATACAAAGCACTAGCACAGGTAACTGCATGGGGAGGGGGTGTCAGCTGTGGTTGTAGCCTCTCTTTGTGTTGTAGACCCTCAAAAAGATTCAGCTCTGTGACTCTCTAGCTTCTGCCTTTTTCACTTAGGCCTCTGGCTAGAGCCCCACTGCACAGATATGCACCCACACATAAACCGGGAACCGTTTGTGTGTGCATCTCTTTAGAAAAAGAGGTAGAAGGATGCTTAACGAGGGATGAGCCAAGTTCCCCACCCTGGGGGCATCCTGCATCTCTAGAAAGTCTTCCTGATCGCTAGAGGAGAGCCAGCAGCTGTCCTGATTCCCCTTGCTCAGCCAAAGAGAACATTTCTGGTGGCTGAAGAAAATCTGCAATTAAGAGATGGGACTGGGCTGCAGTTTAATCCCAGGTGACTGGACTGGGACAGTGTCTGTCTCAATAGCTGTGTGTTGCAAACGTTTCAAAGCATTCTTCATTCTTCATGCGGTATAGTCTGTATCCAATTTCATCCCAGCATAATAACTTTATGTAAATATGTCTCCTTGACAACTAAATAACCTCTAATTTCTTCCTTCCCAAGCCCAAGTAATTAATAGAAGGATCCATGCTCACTTCTTGCTCAGTTACTGTTAACTTCTGTGTAGATAAAACCCAACCAAAGGCAAGGAAGCTTTGCTTGAGTGAGGACCTAGACAAATCTGAACGAGGGTCTCATTGTTAGACTCATGTACTTTGTCTTGTTGGAAAGGAGCCAGCTTAATGCTCCAAGGGAACTTACAATACATGTAACAGTGACAAAAATATCAGAAGCAGCAGCTTGTTTCATTGGAATCCCAGCCTATCACCAATTAAAAAAATGGAGATGTTTCCAAAAATGGAAATATTTTCCACCACTGGCTGGATTTTTAATTAGATAACTGTTTGAGAAACAGAGATTTAAAACTGTATGTGTTTTTACAGGAACAGGAAGTCTCCATGCTGTTAAAACTGTTCCACACCAAAGATTCCCCAACAAACCCAGCACTCAGGGTGGCCCTAAGCTACAACCAGCAGTTTACACTCCTGAATTAGTGGCAGAGAGATGGGTTAGGTGATGTTTCTAGGCCATTATAGCTGTAATGTCTAAGATTCAGTGATTTTGATTCAGGCCTTTTTTGACCTGTCTAAGGTACAGGCAGGAAATCCCTATCATCTTCAGCCTTCCCAAAGAACTGTGAAGTCTTCTAATTTTTTACTGGTATCTCTTCATATCTTTGAAAAATGTATTGTTCTGGTCTTCAGAGCGGTATCCTTTCCACTGAGAATTAAAGAATGGGATAAAAACATCTTTGAAACGGGTGCTGCCCTGAAGACAACATGAAGCAGATTAAGAAACCTTTCAATAAACATTAGGTGCATGTTCAAGACAGCCTCCACAGTTTAGACTCTCCTTTATATGTGACTACATGAAGATAACTGTCAATGCGTTTTCCCTCTTCAAACACCTCTTTTCTTTTCCTCGCTTATGACAAGGCCTCTTGGAAGCTTGAAACCAAAATATGTTTCCATACCTAAATGCTTTTTGCTTCATCACACTGGCTTCTTACTGCAGGTTGTGCTGGGGGAGAGTGGGAGATGCATGCATGCCGTTTTGTTAAAGCAGGACCTGTCTTCGTTGGGGAGATTTTCAGTAACACTTGCAAAGGGATCGAGGAAAGCAAGTGTCCGCCTAGCTTGGCACCAAGCAGTAGCTTTAAACAGGAGCATAGCTGTGATCACTGAGGATATGCTTGTTTCTTCTGGTCACATAAGAAAGTGCAGGGCTGTGGACACCTATGTTGTTAAAGATTCACTTGTATGAGTCTATGGTGTTTTCATTATCACGGATCTCTGCCTCTACTTTTTCACCATCAGGCTGATGCTGAGGTCTCAGCTTGTTTCCTTTAAAAATATTACTCAGTAGTAGGACTAAGATTTGTTGTTTGAGGTATTTTCCCACGATAAATTATATAAAAAGAAATCAACCAGTAAAATGGCAATAAAATTCCATATCTCTCTCTTAGACCATTTTTTTTCTTTCCTTTGCTTCTGCAAAGCAGAAGAAGGGTCTTGAATTGTTGCCTCTAAATAGGAAGTCCTTTAGCCTTCCTGGCTTTTACTTTGATTTTAATACTCTGCTGTTCAGAAAAATCAGTTCAGCTGTTACCACTAGATCACTTCCATCCTCTGCGTATAGGAGCCTATATTAGAGGTACAGATAGTCCCTACCAAAATGGAGTAAATGCAGCTCAGAGTTCCTTATTCTCTTGTAGACTCCGACCTTGGTGAGCCCACTGAAGGAACTGAAGATGTACCTGTGTTTTAGCAGGAGAGAGTTCTCCAGGAAAAAAAGTTTTGTGGGTTTTTTGCACCTAACAAAAGGGATTGGCCAAGTACACATGGCCCCAGGAGGACACTGATGGAGTGTTTCCCAGGGAAGGATCTGATTTAGCACAGGGACTACTATGCCAGGTTAGACTGGAGAGGACGCTTGGTGACAGCAAGGATATTCAGAAGCTCAAAAGGGCTTAGGTCCAGCTTTTTCCTCAGCTCATCTGCCTTCCAGTGCTCGGAAACATCCATGCCAGCACCTTAGAAACAAACAGAAGATTTTTAGTCATGATGGCCACAAGTCAGCATCCAGACAGAGCTGTGCAATAGCAGTCAGCACAGGCCTAAGCCCTCAGTAATAAACCTTACTTTGACATAGGTCAGTTGTTCTTTGCTCAGCACTGTACCCCCACGGCTGGTTTGATATGCAACTTCCAGACAACATCCAAAATACCACTGGAATTCTCTGACTTGCCCAGTCAGTAGAAAGCGTCATTGCTGCAACAGGAGGTTTCCTAAATACACCAGGACAGAAGCCAGCACAGACAGCTATTGCAAAGTTTGAGAGCGGGCAGCTCCCTTAACTGCCAGAAACATATTAACGCCTCTATATTTTTCACTAGTTTTACTTTGGTCACAGCTCTTCAAGGTCCTTAATTCCAATTTGAAGCATGTGCATAACCATATTGACATCAGGGCAATTACTCATGTGCTTCAAGAGGATGCTCAAGAAACTTTTTAATTAGGATTTTTCTAAGTAAGAGCTTTGTTTTATTGAACTCCTTTCCAAAAATAAGAAGCTGCCAACAAAAAGCACAAGCAGCACCCAGTTTGATGTAATCCACAAGAGTGTTTTCTCCTAACAAAGAAAGAAAGATCTTCCCTCAATTTTAATTCTGGATGAACTTTTTTTTTAAAAACTTATAAATCTCCCTTTTGGGACACAAGCAGTCTAGGCCACAGTGATCTGAAGTCCTTTGTTTTCCTTGCAAGTGCTCTAAAGTTGCTGCCAAACACTGAAAGGGTCCCTGTGATGTGGTAGATAAGCCCACAAGCTGCAGCAGGCTAAGCCCTGAAGAATTCAGATGGCAAAATGTTTTCAAAATGGCTGCCTCTGTGCTCTTTTTTCTTTATAATTAAAGAGGTGGTTGTAGGAAAAAAAAAAAAACAATACCAAAGGGTGGATGGTGCTGAAGGAGAAAGCAAAAGTAAGAAAGGAGGATCATGTGAGGTAATTCTGCCAAAATCAATATATTCTATTACAGTTCCCCCCTAAGGTCTAGGAAGCAAGGATTCAGAGATACTTCATGTGTCTTTCAGATAGTAAATGCACAAAATAATGAAAAAAAAAAAAAAAAAAAACAACCCACCCTGAAATCCATAGCTCCCTTGGGTGGCCATTCCCAAGAGCTCTTAAGTACCCTGTGATACAGCAAAGTTGCGGTGCCTGCGCGGGTGCATGTGAGCCCTCTGTGTGGCCAGAACCATGTAAGACTGCTAGGACAGGCAGAAAGATGATCCCCTCTGATCCTCTCCCTGGGAAAAGAAGGGATTCCAGCCCTCTGCAGTGGGTCTCAAAGCTAGTTCTCCAGTGCCCCATCCATGCTAGGTCAGTACTACCCATGATAAGACAATATTGCCTAGAAAAACCCATAATTCACAGCTCTTCCAGTATTAAGGACTTAACAGAGCAGCACAGAAGCATCCAGCTGATGGATCAATAAAAGACATTGCACAGAAGAGCAGTGAAAATCCTGTCCATTCCTCTTCTGTGGCTTCATTACAGAGACTGATCATTAGCTAAGTGTTATTTACCACCTCAGACAGATACTCTGCTGTTGAAGTTTTATTTAAAGCTAAAGATGGAGAGATGTTTGGGTGGGACTAACCTGGAGCACTGACTGGCATGAAACTGAGTAAGACAAATGAAGTGTGAGTGAGACAAACTGAGTGAAGTGAAAGGGAAGCAGAACAGTGAAAAAAAATTGTCAATGGTAAGATTTTTTTCAGCTGTGCTCCTAAGAGTAGTGGCAAAACATTAAAAGCATGCTTTGGCCAGGCAACCTGCTTCTCCAAAATGCCAGGGGGAATTACATAGGCCAGAGCTCAAATACAAAAAAAAGATATTAAAGTCTTCTTTCACAGCTTCTGGAATGTATGCTGATGTGTGGTTTATTGTAGAAGGTGTGAGATGCTTGGTTTTGCTGCTGGCTGGAATAGGTGATATTTTTTTCTGAGAGGGAATGTCTTTTTTTTTTTTCCTCTAGAATGTATAGGTTACCAGAAACAGAAAACTCTGTGTTTTCCTTCTTCTGAGCTCTGATAGGATATAAAAACCCAAACCACCTCATTTTAAGAAAGCAGACATTATCAGCCAAAAACAAAACAAACAAGCAAAGTCTAATGAAAGGGGGTTTTTACTGAATTTTGGGTTGCTTATCCTTCTCAGATAGGCTTGTATTACCTCCAGTGAGAGGCTATTCTGCAGTTGCATTGATCTCACTTGTCTATTAAGCTGTCCGCCTTGAGATTCCGACTAAATATCCTGTATCAGGATCTAATCCCACTTTTTATAGTTATGCCTCCTACAATCATGCTAACCAATTCCTCTTCCTCCTGCACAGATTATTG